TTTGAAATATTACATATTTACATTTACCTGTCAATATGTTCCCAGAGAGTGAATTTTTGCAATGCCAATATTTGTTCCCAGAGAGTGAATTTTGGCAATGCCAATCTTAAATTGTTTAAATGTTATACCAACAATTCAATTTGCCGCTTTACATATTTAACACAAGAGAGTGAATGAAAATAGATAAATCAAACACGTAAGTACATAAGCTTTTTTGCAGTAATAATGTTTGCATTTATCATGTTTATATCAACGTTCTTCCTTTTTTTACGTTTGACCTGTTATACTGAAGCGAAAGCTTGAGGCCAACTTGACAAAATTATCTGTTTTCCAAAAAAAATTTAAAACAAATGATGAGTTAGTTTGTGTTTCCTTGATATATAATGGCAGCAATTGTTAAGGATAAATTACAATTATATCGATTTCAATATGTCATACTTACGTCTGCAGGTTATCATCAATATACGATGTAATTCTACAAGTAAGCGCAACAAATATATTAAACGGATGAACATTTGAACAACATATGAATTTAATTCTACTGTTTTTAATAAGTTTCATGAAAAGCTTATTCTTACATTTCTCATTACATATGACACACTCCGTGGTGTGAAATATGACAAGAATATCTAAAAGTGTGCATTATTTAACTTTTTACTGTCTAAAATAGTATTTTGTGGAAAGGTTTGCAGGAAATAGTATCTATTTAACCTATCAAATTAAAGTTTGCGATGCTTTTCAAATACCTTTAGGTATAACAATGCCCAACGAATCAATCATATGATATACGTTAGTTATCATTGTCCTGTTACATAACAAAAGAAACCGTAACTGAAGGACCGGAAGCATCACACGATTAAATTGTTATTGTGTATGAAAAATACAAGTCACTTTAGATTTAACTTTATGAAAGGGGGTTTGATATGTTTTTTCCCTTACTTCATAACATTATTTTTCAATTTTTAAATGATTTTATTTAAATTAATTTATTTTTGTTCTTTTTTGTCTGGCAATACAAACTATTAAGTTAATATGAGAAATTAGAAGAAGTTGTAAATAATAATATTTTTTTTTTGTCAGTTGTTATAGTGATCAATATGAGTCATAAAGGCAATATTTGGTCACTGGTGGACCATCACAGTGATCGATTACTCAATAGCAAGAACTTACTTTCACTGGTGTATACAAATCACTACTATCGAATATCAAAGAACCTTGATATCACTATGTTAACACACCATTAAGCATGTGATAATGGACATTAAACATTAAAGTTGTTATAAGTAGAGTAATAAAATCAGCGTCTCTTACACATGTTTTGCATAAAAACTTGAAAAATTACAATTACGTATGCTTACAATGTTAATTTGTATACAATACCATGTTGTTGTTTTTTAAAAGAAACAACAAGAACTAACCGTATATTTGAATTACAAGTATAACACTCCCATAGACCGTGTTGTTCAAACATATCATCCCCACTGACTATGTATCAAATATACGCGGTTACCATGTGTTCGCGTTTAATCAAAAATATTAATTAAAGTTTATAGGAAGCATTCATACGTTATATGACATGGACATAAACGCAAACGAGTATGTATGGGTATATCAATATCTACCTGTTGTCTGTCGATGATTTAAGGTGATTAGAGATAACTTACATTTTATCTAGTGCTACTGTTGCATCAATATTCTCATATGAAGTCTGTCCACTGATTGCCAGTCCTGTTACACAGTAACATGCAAAATGTTCACAATTAAATTTCGTTAGGTTATATTCGACCTCAGATCTGTCAAAAATTAAAACCATCATTTCGGCCCTCTCCTTAATAACTTCATTCGAAAAAGATAAACTGTCGTAATCATAGTAGAAAATGTCATCTTTAAATTTTATAATTTTTTTTTCTATTCTAGGTTTAATATTTTTGCTAAGTACTGCTGCAGAAATATTGGCAGTTGTATCAGTGGCCGTTAACTCAACAATTTCGAATTTTCTACTGATGTCATAAATATTTATGATAATACCATGATGCTTATAAATATAGTTATTTCTCGCAATCTTCATTCTTCCAAATGCAACTTCAAGTCCAATCTTTAAATCTTTAAAAACATCCAATCGTCTTTCTGTTTTGTACTTGGTCTTCAATCAACAAATAAATTGTGATAATTATTTCCATTACATCTTACAATGCCCTTTTTTGTAACAAAACTTGGCACACTAACAGTGTTTGACTTTTGAGTTTATGTATATGAAAAATGCCTGTCAATATACCTATATGTGCTGCTTGTTTCTCGACAATACTACAAAGGGAACAGTAAGCCTAAATACACTCATAAATGCTCAGTTTGTATTGTTGACTATAAAATCTGAAAGCATCAGACCTGCTTTTGATATAACACACGCAAACAAAAATGAAACTATCAATGGGTAAATATACATGCCTACAGGTAACCGTTTTAAAAATTGGACGATATTTATAGTGTTGTCAATAATCGTTCAATCTTTCTCTGAGACAATGATGTAACAGTAAACCAATACAACAACTTGTAATAAAAAGTGAAATAACAGAAATACCGAACTCCGAGGAAAATAATAATAATAAAAAAAAAACAAAACGGAAAGTCCCTTATCAAATGGTAAAATCCAAAATTCAAACACATCAAACGAATGGACAACAACTGTCATACTCCTGACTTGGTACAGGAATTTCCGAATGTAGACAACGGTGGATTAAACCTGGTTTTATAGCTAGCTAAACCTCTCACTTGTATGACAGTCGCATAGAAATTCCATTATATTGACAACCATGTGTGAGCAAAACAAACAGACATAATAGGGGAACATGTCGATAAACAATTGAACTTGACTTCTCTCACCAGATTGCTGTGATGGACAACAACATCTTAATGTATCGAACTGTACCTTATGCATGTTTAATAATCATCTGCTGCGTTTTCCAAATTTTCTGTGAATTGTGAATGGAAAAACGTCTTTGACATTTTGTTCACCTTGGAAGGAAGCAGTCTATACATGTATCTATTTCGCGAAATTATTTTACAAAAGTTGATGAATATATCAGATGGATGAAATATCAAGAATGTTAGGAATTGCGAGTTATCAAAAACGTACGGCGAACATTGTCTCTCAATTAATCCTTTATAAGGATTAAAACTGATCAAAAGGCGAAATAACACACAAGGTTAAAGTAAAAAAAAAATCGAAAATTAGCGCCAATTATGAATAAGGCCATCTATGTATAAGGTAGATAAACCTGTGGTTTCGAATAGTTTTGTAAACAGAAAGCTTTCAGAAAATGATCATTATAATGATAATTCGTGTCAACACAAAGAACTGTTGATACCCTCTGCTACGAAACGTTAACCAACACTTCCCAGTGATCAAGTTGCTGTAAAAACTCATCAAATATAGATGGTTAAAATTATTTACGCACAACACCTGTCTCGTCTGACACTGAATCAAATACAGAACGCCAAATAATATCAATCCCCCAAAGTACATTTAAGTCTTCTTTGAGAATAAAGAATAACACAATTTTAGCGTGACACCTTTAGACTACTTAGTATTGGGTTTAATTCATTGACAAACATATAAATGTCTAACACACTATCGTTTTTTAGCCGAACAATATGCAGTTGAGAAATTGAATAATGTGGAAAATATTGATTAGCCACTAAAATTTCAACAATTGTTAAAGAACATCAAATGTGTTTGATGTTTTGTTATTCAGTGACTCTCGAATAAAACAACTTAAAAAGGCCAAATAAAATACGAAGTTGAAGAACACCGAGGTTCCAAAATTCCGCAAGGTTATACCAAATACACCATGAACATGTCTATGACATCTTTTGCCTGATAATAATATGTTACATTGTACTCACTATACTATCCTTCCCTGAAAGTTGACAGAAATACACGATTTCATGAAAATAAATATACCCAGTAAAAATATATATGGTATTCAGGACTCAGACAGGGTATATAATGCGAAATTCCCAGCGAAGTGGATATAAACCCTAAGCCGGGAATGTCACATTATATACGCTGTCTGAAACCTGAATTACGGATAACCCCTGCCTTAATGGTTTTTTTGTCAAGTACCAGGTATTAAAAATTTTCAACACTCCCCATGCAGTATATATATTCAGTATATGTTTATTGTTTTAAGTAGAACAGAAAGTAATGATCCTTCTAGAGTTCACTGATGTTCAAGCATCTATCCCCAACTCCCCTCTCACTTTCCACCACCATCCCCACCACCACCCGTTGTTTTGTTGTGCTTTTAATACTCAATCTATCGTTTTCTGTGTAGTGTAGTATTGTGTTGACTTTTATCTTTGTCTTTTGTCGTATTTCTTTTTGGTCGTGGTGTTGTTAATTCATTACTCGACTTATGTTTTTTGTTTTGCCTTCTAAGTATCGTCTTATGTTTTTCGTTTTTTTTTTGTTGCATCCTTTGCGTCAGTAAAATTTCATAGTCTCTGAACTTAACGTTTATTCCATGTATATCGTTTTTATCATGCTAGTTTGAGAAAACGTGTACTGTAATGATTCCTTCTTCGGACTGATGACATTGCAGTACAAATAGGATTTTAGGTACATAAACTTTTGATACCGTATCCGTTTTGTAAACCACTAGATAAACGATATCAAAACATGTGTTGACTACTTTCTAAAGAAGAAAGGGGAGAATCGATCACAGGGTTACGATTTTGTATCTAGCAAAGCACAAACGGCAACCATCAATACATGACGGACATAGCCCGGCTGGGTTAACGCAGTTGTGCGTGCGCAGATAACCACGCCCCTTTTGAATTATCATGACAATATTTGAATAGTCATTCAAAGGCATTTCGATCAAATTCCCTTGTTTCCTACGTTTGTTTGTGGTCTGAGTGGATAAAAATAAACAAGGAATTTTCCAATACACATCGATTAAAAAGTGATAAAATCTGTATAATGTTCAGTATTGTACTTACCTGGCTTTAATTTGAAGCCAACAATAGTCCTCCTTATATCACTAAACCCTTGAAAAAAAAAATGGAATTTACTTTTGAAGACTTCATTTTTATGAATGTTGTAATTGCAACAACACTGTATGGTAATGTACATTATAGATATCATTTATTATATCCATTTTCTATATCATCATCGAGTGATGAAACATTCTTTGCGTACGCCAAGCACCTTTTTCTTGCATGACCATGTCTTATTTGATCTAAACGTAAACGCGGTGTACCTCAACTGTGCATACAAATTGTGAAAATTTTAAGGGTTGTGATAACATTTTATTATCACGTTGATATATTCCTGCCTAAATTTTTTGCAGAATTTTATTGTAGTAAGAAGTAATGCCATTTTCAAACTCCGTTTATTATTCCTTCTGGAATAATACCAACAATATCATATTAAACTATTTTCTAAAGACAATTGAGGAAAAGCGGTCGTAAATATTCGTTTTACTGACACTCAGACATGATTTTATCAAAAATTTGATTGATCGTCATTAATTACAATTTTGCATGAAATTGGATGTAATTCATTATTTATGAATTACTAATTATCGAAAAGGATTACATTTCAATTACATTTTTTTTTTGGTATTTAGTGTCATTATACATGATGAAGAAGAGATGCAAAAGGTAACAAAGGGATATTCAAACCCATAAGTTGAAAACAAAATGACAATTTCATTGGTAGAAAAAAAAAAAAAAAAAAAGAAAACGAAAAAAAAAAAACGATGCGCAGTTCACAAAACACATTAATATTTGAATTTCTTTCTCCAGAAAAGGGAAAGAACAAGTGATTACCAGTATCAAAAGTTCTGGACATTTACATGATTTATGTACATTTAAAGGTTTTATACTATAACTGAATGTTTATCATTTTTTTAATGAGCTTATAGCCAAATGTATAGACATGTTGTATCTTAATTTTCAAACGAGTTGACAATATTCATTATTTTTTTTGTTAATTTGGTGCAAAGATTAATCAAATTAATTAAGGGTGCTATAATCCCAATGACAATACATGTTTGATAGATAAAGTTTTGACTTATTGTCACTTTAGAATAACCGAACACATTTAAACTGTGACATTATGTAATTAATATTGAAGGAAACGGCTACATATTACCAGTGTACAGTAACTTGTCTGCCTCATGGAAGAGCTAATTAATATTTGTTTGAAAAAAACTTAAGTTAATGATTCATGTGGGAACTGTTTACGCCAATAACACTGAAATGATACAAAAACTCTCAGTACTTTAATGTACCAATTATAATCACTCATTCTCAGCAAATATGGACCATTTGCCAATTCATACATTGGAAATGAATTTGTGTAACTGAACTATGCGGAAATGGTTCATGAATATATACTGTGAACGAATCATGAGTGGTTGATCTTAACTCTAACTGATTAAAAAAGTATCGATATTCAAACTATGGGCTCCTGTTTTGAAGAAAACAGACACGTTACAGTCATGTTTTATTTTGATAAATAAACTACGATACAATGTGTTGCTGACGGATTTTTCCCCACACTTTTCTAGAGGTTCCAAAGATTTTATTACAGTATTGATTCCTGATGATCGATATCGAAAAATTTATAATTTTGTCTTGAATTTATAGCTAAATCAAAATGCTGCAGTTAATAAAAATAAAAGAAAAAATAAGTTACCTTTTTGAAAAATATATGTGGATTATTACTCCAAATTTTTCTAATTATCAATTATCAACTACTGCTGTGGTAATTTAGTAGATATTTTGTTGATTATAAATACCTTTGCCATAATATCATCATGAACATAATTTAAAATAAAAAGTAACGTATCTGTTGAGAAATTGGCTTTGATATAAAAACTCTGTAAGTATGTTATAAAACCAATTATCGTGGATAAACTTTGAATATACAATATATGAAACAAGAAACAAGTGTTAAACTCTCAAACTTTAACAAAATCCTTAAAATATAATTCATGTAACGTATCTGTCTAAATTGCATTCTATACATCAACAACGTCAGTTTTTGTAGTTATGAGTGTCATCAAACAGTTCAATTATTCTTTCGACCGATCTTCTGCCTATCGGTGTCATCTATTTTGTACATACGGCTTGATTTACCAGTAGCTGTTGGTGCATTTATGGTACACATGACATCTGTTTGATGGACCCAAATGATATCCAATGGTGCTGGACACTTGAAAAACTGCTACCTCTTTTTCATAAAAGAAATCTGTAGAGTTTCATCTGATCTGTCGTAACACTCGATTATACCACTGCTTCATTTTGATCGATATGAAGATAGTGCTCTGTTCATCCAGCATAAACGCTACCACGTTTACATACTTCACAGTAGCACGATGTATCACGCACAAATATTTTACCCATCCCTTCAGTTCGTATTGCATGTAGCTTCATAGACACAGGAACTGCTTTTGAGACCTTACCAACAAAATATTCAGCGGCAGAATTATAATCTTCATCAGAATAGAAAACATACGAATTTGCTTTCTCAATCTTAATATCCCATTGGAAAAAGTTTCTTGCATCCTGCATGGAGGTCTTTCCTTGTTTTACTGCATCTGAAGCGGTTCGTTTGCAGGTTTTACCAATGCCATCGCAAGGGCCTTTCCCGTATCCCACTTCAAAATAATTCCAACTAGCGTTTATGCCGTATAAGGAGTGGTGATTGGACAGCAAATCAAAAATATAACGACTACGGTAATGACATGAAGGACTATCAGTCCAGAAGTGGATATGTGCAAGTCCTATTAAAGTATCTAGTAAAACTGGAATCAATTTACGGATGATGGCTAACTGCAGTACTATTATGATGATTCAAATCAGATACGAATTCTATGCTTTTGTGGATCAACTTTTCGTCATCCTTGTAATATGCTACAACTGGATGCACAGTAATCGATGTAGAATTCCAATACGCTGATTGGATCTCGTCCATTGTTTGACATTGGCAGTTTTCTGCAAAATCCATTTGGACGATAGCATGGCCGACTGGTAAATTGCTTTTCAGGTCATCTAGGGCTGTGTACTGAGGTGAAATTCGTTCTGTGTGCTGTAAGATAGATTCATATTCTTTTATCATGAACGGGATGAAATTATCCAATGACATTTTCACTTTAACAACTCTCATTTTCTTCCCCATCTACTTCAACCCGTTTCTGCTCAAATTCAACTTCTTGGGTTTTCTATTTTAATTATTTTTTGTGTAAAGTCATTTACTGATACTGTCCTTTTTACACTTTTAGGTTTTGGAGAAATATCTACAGCTAAGGATCTTAAGCATTTGAATTTAGGACTAATACTTTGATGTCTGGTGCATAAGTATGTATTTGTATTTGTATTTCTGGAAAGTAATGATGTGGTTTTGGTCTTAATTTACAATAAATTGAAAAGGATATCTTGATATTCTTGTTTTTTATTACACATTTCTCGTGTATATTTCTGAGATAGTCATTCAGAATTATTGTTTGTCTCTTTTCTGTAGCTACTTTTACTGCATCATTTTTTCCGGGGATACACCTACTATTGTTGTCCCTTTCAAGGAACATATCAACATTTTCTCTCAGCTGGCTACGCATTGTCAGCATTCGTGTTTGTCTTGGTCTTGTGATGTGTTTTGACTTATGATTTATTAATCTTTTCCTGTTTATCATTATCAAAATCTCTTTGCTAAGTTTTCTAGAATATTTGTATTTCTTGATTGTTGATCCCGATATAATTCTATCAATAGAACGACGTTCTGATTCTGTTTTGTTTTCCTTTCGTGCTTCTTTTATTTCATCCACAAGACAGCTAGCAAACTTATACTTTTTAACAATTGATTTCGGAATTTGCTTTTGACTCATCCCGGCTGATCGAATGTCGAAATTTGTCTTTGATTTTGGGGTTAGATTATTGTAATTCTTGCTATCAGATACTATTGAATCTTTAGATTCCCTGGCTTTCAACCTCGTGCATCTTTTTTCCACTTTTCTGCTAGAGCATTTGTTTTCTTTAGTCTTTCCTTCTCCAAAGAGTTTTCTTTACCTGCATTTTTTAGAGCAGTTCATCTTTTTGTAGGAGCTAAAGTTAAATTCTACAAGTATAGCATCTGAACTCCTTGAACGTAACGAAGGTGTAGTTTGTTCTGAATTCATGGATGTACCTCCTTCAGATGATGTTGACGGCCTTACGTCATGGATTTGGTTTGTTGTGTCTGTGCTCACTATACCCTATTCTTTACTTTGGTTTAGTTTTTTCTTTGTCTCTCTGTATTTTCTGCATTAGTCCTTATTTCTTTCTCTACCTTTTTGTAGCTTTTTTGCTGAGGCCGGCATTCTGTTTTCCGTGGCCCTTTTTCTTTCAGTCTCAAAATAACTTCGAACATTATTCTTTTTCCTTTATCTTTAGTCTTTCTGAATTTTCGCTCTTGATTAAGCCATTCTGAAATAAATAAATAGAAGTTGAGTTCTACCTATCATTTACATTACTCTTATGAAGAGAAAGTTATCACACAATACATTTTATACAATGAACATAATACGTTACCATAAAAAGCAGATACGTTACTTGTTGTATATAACCTGAAGGCTGAATTACAACCATTTCATATATATGTTTTCTTGTAGGTTAATGTATTTAAATATTTAATTAATATTTATGTGTTTAAATGTCTCACATTAATTTATAAGTACAGCAGTTATTAAAATATCCAGATAAAAACAATATACTTACTTAATTTTTGATGATGGCCTTCATTTGCGTTCAAAATATGCCGCATGTAAACTTTTTGTATTGCGGGAAATGTTTATTGATAACTAAACGTTGCTGGTGACGAATATGTCAAACATCCGGAACGGTACCGATATAGCGAACGTTTAAGAAAACGTGGTAACGTTTCTGTCGGTATCGTATCTGTTTAAAGAAATATTCTTAGTCTTTTATTTTAAACATAATATTTATAATAGAACAATCGACAGAAAATAATATATACCAACCGGGACATTCGTTTTACTGAAAATGACACAGAATTGTATAAGGGTAGGGAAAAATTCATTTTCTCCTTTTTGTTGTCTATATATTTTTTCGATAGATATTTCCCAGCAGATTTAAAAATCGGATTTTGTACACAATTTACTCGGTATACGTCTCGAAATATCTACAGGGATTTTGCCCCGATTTTCTGAGAATGAGTGCAATGCATTTACGAAAATATACTTACTGCGCTCATTCAGTTCTATGTTTGTCTGAAATGAAAAATTATCATAAAAAATCACGTTTCTTTTCTTTGGTTAGTTGAAACACTCAAATAAAAACTATGGTTTTATTTTCTTTTGTACAAATTATCGTTTGTTTTTGTAGACGTGTATTTATGTAAGTTTTAGATCTTTCCTTCGTTAAAATCATAGTATGTAGGTTTCCAAAAAATCATATGCCTTCTTTTATGAAGTGGTAATATGATAGAGAGTTCCCCCTTTTTTTAAGGTTTTCTCTTAATCCTAGATATGAAATACAATGAAATCACGTCAGGAACCTTGTTAGCAGTTGTCGCATGTACAATCTTATTGTTTTTGTTTTTCGTTTCTTTAATCGGTCTCCATGGCATCTTGTGCAGATTCGGGAATCTTTCATTGACTTATGTCCCGCATATCGTTCATTCCTAGATGCTTTGCCTGCATTTTATCTAATCTGTCTTAGTTTCAAAAAGACGAAAATATTGTTGCTATTATTTTTATTGTTTGTGTTTTGTGAGCCTATTTTAACCTGCATAACAAAATAAGCAGAAAATATTAAGGAGACAGTCAAAACTATAAGTCGAATATAAACGAGAAATAGGGCTATTATGGATGTTGTTAGGAGTAAAATGTTCTTTAAAATATTTAATACGAATATCAACTATGTTCATTACTGAATTAAAAAAAAGAAGAATCTTAGAATTTTTTGTCAGCTTTTTATCGTTTTATCATGTTTATCCATTTCATACAGTAAGTACGGAATGAGTCGTGAGTCGTGAATGATGATACGACACTCATTCGAATTAATAATTAAAGGGGACGATATTTAGGTCCTTTACTAAAGAATGATTTGAAATATCGGTCCCAGACGATGTGTAAGTCTCCTGCTATAACATGGGAACTGGGAACATAAATATATTTTGAATTACCGCAATTTTATATTAAGGTTATATTAATTGATTGATTGATTGGTGTTAAACCTGACTTTCAGCACTATATTGCTATTTTGTGGCGGTCAGCTTTTATTGCTGGAGGAAGTTTGAGTGCCCAGAGAGAACCACTGACTTTAGGTAGCTAACTGAGAATCCTAGATAATCAACTTGCCACATGCGGCACTCGAATTCAAAACCTCAGTGATGGCACGCTAGTGTAGAAGTTCGACTTATTAGACCACTCTGCGACCGAGGTTCCCTTACTAGACTAAGAAACACCAACGTTACCAAACGAGTGACCGAGTATATCAGGTAATCGTGAAGGGCAAATTTATCCTGCTCCACTGTTTAATGATTGTGGAACCTGTCATAAAAGTAAGAGAATGGTGATAAATGAATAAGCATTCAGTAATGTCACAATCAAAGGAAAGAGGAAGAGATTGTAGCTACGACAATTGGAACATATTCGTCGCAATCTGTGACATAGTTATTTCATTATGTTGGTGTCCTTAAAACGTTTAAAGGGAAGACGTCAATCAAACCATTAAGGTAAACAAATTGGAACGCTTGGTTCAAGAGCCTCTTGTAAAAACAACTATCTTTCAAGGAATTCGATATAGAAAAAAGCAAGGTCTGTTAAGTCCACTATTTGAAAGCTGAAATCTTCTCTTTTGCCATATAATTTAGTTCTCAACCAGTCCTCATGTCATGTTTCTGAATCTAATCAATATATCAAACAGACCTATTTGTGGTATCAGTTATTTTAATTTCAAATAGATAGATGCGTAAAACGCTAGTCGAAAAACTTTAAATCATTTTAGTAAGATAACATAATCTTTATAGCGGAGTGTGGATCTAAAGCATAATGCTAGCTTTTTCATTCTTCTTGATAAGTTCCAGTATGAAGACAGCTTCCTATAAATATCAAATACAGTGATCAAAGACTTTTGGTTGAAAATCTACCGAAACAGATCTATGAATGTTCAGGATTTCAAGTTTGTGGGGTTATGCCCGTTAGAAAATAGAATCTACGTCTTTTTTTGCACGATTTGTCCATTATTTGGAAGTTGCCATCCATCCAGGATTTCGACTCACGATATTTGTTCTTTTTTGTTAACAAATTTCGTTGACAATGTCAAGGTCACCATCTATAGGTGTTAAGGCTTACAGTTGTCAATATTGAAATCTATTTACAACTGCTAGTAGCTTGTAGCTACAATAATTGTACTCGCTATATGTATATGTGTAACATGTGTAACATGTGTAACAAATTACTGGAACAGATGGAAAATGTATGAAAGTATTTTAGATTGAACTTATTTGTTATGCACGATAATGCCTTAATTACTGACATCAAGATCCCTGTTAGCAAAGGACATTTTAAGAAGGATCATTTGTATCGTACTAGCTGTCTATTTTGGTGCTTCTAGTAAGCGTTTTACGACAATCCCTATAATAAGACGATTTTGACGTTGTTCCAAAGATTGTTTCAAGCTTTCGAGCTGATATGAATGGTCATGTATATCTTATAGTGTTATATGTACACTGTTGATAATAATAGAGATAACTATATATTTGAGATCAAAGTGCAATGGTCTAGCCTATCTATAAAATTATAATACCAGATTTCTACACTCTACGAGTTTTTGTCAGAAATACACTGTTCTATCTCTTTACTCCAATTAGATTATAATGGCTTATTCATCTAATTAGTTGAAAGAAAATTTTTTTATAGGGTTGTATCTCGTTTATTTCTTATATGTTTTTGCTGCTGAATAGTTGTTATCAAAATATCTTAATAGTAATATGATTAAATGGTGTGCATGGTTAGAACTTCATCTATGAGCAATTCTTAGCAAAACCAGCAGTACAAAATTGGGAATAATACAGAGTTACAAAATCCATGGTCTTTCTCTAGAGATAAATTAATTAACTACATTGTTTGTAGTGAAATGTTCTATCTCCAAACTAGAGGCTCCAAAGAGCATGTGTCGCTCACCTGATATTTTTGTTAACAATTGATGTATGAAACAATGCAGCAATAACACTTTTTTAAAGGAATCTGTGTGGATCAAAATCTAATCTTTCGTTTGATTTTAACTGCTTTCCACCCATTTGAGATTTTAAAAATTGAATTTGTCTATGTAATTTCAGAGGAGAAGATTTTTGTAAAAGATTACAAAAATTTATGAACAATTGTTAAAAATTGACTATAAAGGGCAATAACTCCTTAAGGGGTCAATTGACAATTTTGATCATGTTGACTTATTTGTAGCATCTACTTTGCTGAACATTATTGCTGTTTGCAGTTATCTCTATCTATAATAATATTCCGGATAATAACCAAAAACTGCAAAATATCCTTAAAATTCAAGTGTAGCAACCCAACAACTGGTTGTCTGATTTTTCTGAAAATTCCAGGGCAGATAGATCTTGACCTGATGAACAATTTTATCGCTGTCAGATTTGCTCTTATTGCTTTGGTTTCAGAGATATAAGCCCCTATGTTCTATTTTAGCCATGGTGACCATATTGGTAGGTCGGCCTGGTTGGTTGACACATTTTCTTAAACTAAATACCCTTATAATGATTGTGGCCACGTTTGGTTAAATTTGGCCCAGTAGTTTCAGAGGAGAATATTTTTGTAAAAGTTAACGGACGACGACGACGGACGCCGGAAGACGGACGCCAAGTGATGAGAAAAGCTCACTTGGCCTTTTAGGCCAGGTGAGCTAAAAAGTGGATGCTTTATTTCCTTAGTTGTTCGTCTATTGAAAAAATATCGAACACAGACTTACTCTTCATGTACGTAAATTTCGATTCATATATAAATTTTTATGTCTCAGTCGAAAATTTATGATATTGAGCTGTTAAACTTTAATTAAAATTTTTACCAATCGTAACAAATGGGAATATATAATTATAAGATTCACACAATGGACACTTGAAAACCTAAATTTACTGTAATGAACTTGATATCAGTTTGTCAAAAAGATGCATAGTTTTTTTTTTTTTTAAATTAATAATTGAAAACTTTACTTTTTCCAGCAGTTCGCATTAATGAGTGATTACATTGATTTCCAAATTTACACACAATAATTTTTAATAAAAATTAAATATTGAAATTTATGTTACCCAAATATTGTGTATATATACCCTTTCATTGTATTTTTTTCAGTTTTCTCTTATTTCTATGCTTTATCATCTCGCGACGTTTTCTTTGTCGCAAGAAATCTATGTTAGTAAAATTTTCGGAGTCACGTTTTTCACATTTCCGTATTTTTCGTAGCATTTAAAATGTCCTTTTCTTTGTTATGTTTAAGCAAGCAGTTTTCTCTATTTTGTTTCGTCTTTTTAAATTCACGATAGTAATATAATTTTTTCTATTGACGATTTTACTTAGGTCTTTGTAAACGAATTTTAAAAGTAAGGTCAACAATCAATCAATCACTTTCATAATCTTGGCAAATAGGTATATCAAGGGCAACAATAGTTTAAGCAATTGTTCAAGCTAAGTAGAAAATACAAATCGAGATGAAAAACAAAAATAAATTGAACATACTGGTTGCGTTGACAAGCTACAAGTCTCCTGCTATGTTACCATCATCTTTATACGAAAGCACACTCAGTCAAAATATCACAATACGGATTATAACAAATTATGTTAGTTGACAGAGCAGATGATCATTTCGGTATAAATGTATATGAACGAAAAAGCATGCCACTTGTGAGTTGAGACACAAACAGATCGTATAGGTCAACCACATCGTGATAATGACCGTAAAACTTGTGTAGTGTCAATTTCAGTCGTCTTCCACATTACCCTGCTGGATTAATTTTTGTGTCACAAGCATATCATTTTAAAAAAGTGTGTATAATGTCAACACGCGCGAGCGTAAAATTTCATTTGGTATATGTAATCGCCATACGATAGGTAAGAGGATATTTTATTCCTGATAAACAGGAAGTTAACAATGAGAATGTTGCAATTGTCACGTTTGCTATAGATCCTAATTTAAATTTGTCTATCTACGTCAATATCAAGAGGAAAGTATCCTGAAGACATGTTTTGCTTTAAAAACGATAGTATCTAGCTTTGCTTAGTTCAATTAGTCAAAGGAATATGTTTAGGGATTTTTCTTTCCCAGTAATTGATTAAATTAGCTGTATTTTGCAACACCTTCTGGAATTTCAGATTTTTAATGCTCTTCAAGTTCGTACATAATTTAGCCTTCCTAACATTTTTATATTCGAGCGTCACTTCTGAGTCTTGCGTAGACGAAACGCGCGCCTGACGTCTACATTTTTAATCCTGGTATCTATGATTAGTTTTTTTTTATAATGAATGAATTTCGACTTTTTGCACAAATGTTACTTCTAACTGCAAAATGGAAAGCAAACAATATTTTTTTTTCTTTTTCACTTACTTTTCTGTTATGTCTAATATCTTTTCTATAGATGCTCTCATGACTACTAAGAGCGTCAAAGGGTGAATCATCCTGAAAAATGAACAATAGACTACATTTTGTACACTTTGAAAAGACTAAAATGTGAAGATGATCTCCGGTCTTAAAGCTCAAACCCTAAAACTTATTTTTGATAAAAATTTCTACTTGAAGAAAATATTACTTATTTACAAAAATACTATGGTTAATCACTGACGTAATACAAGAAGGTATGACAATATTAAACTTTACAATAATAGTTAATGTTTCTCTGATTAAAAAATGCTATATCAAAAAAATCCGGAAAACAGCTCGCTAGCAAAAAATCTGTATGCGTCTAAACGTGTAAAGTTCTTTGGTCGTTATCATCTAAATGTCGTATTCTACAGTTTATAAACAGACTTGAGACAAGTTTACCATATTAATGTTTCCACATCAAGTGATTAATCCTCTATAACATTTTCGTTATGTAAAAAGACAAGCGATAGATGCAACCTTAGTCGGTTAAATCTTTAAATACGAAATTCAACAAAAATTTATCTCATTAAGAACGAACGCATACTCTACTGTGGTATATACATGTACATCACGTTAGTTATTCATTGCAAGGTTTCCATTTCTTTTAGTGTAAAAATAGACAGAAGTTGATAATTGTGCGTAGCAAAATCATCATAGATATGCTGCGTTGTTAAACAGTTATATTTGTTTGAATATCTATTATGTAATGTAACTAGTTTGTCTTCAATCCGTCCGTTATCATTTACTTCATTTGGTGAACAAATTAAAGACGTATCTGCTTACATTTTGTTCGATCATGAAATCAACATTGCATGAACATCTGTTTGAAAGTTGCCTTAATGTAATACACAAGCATAAAACTGTCAAGGATAACATGAATTATTATGCATTCACTAGTAAACGGATTTTTTTATTTGAAACGACCATTTTGATCTGAACTGGTCTAAAAGACTGAACAATACTTTTGAGTAATTTAGTAATTTTCAGTCTTTCAATCAATTCTTGATCTTATCCACTGAGGTAAATTTAGAACTGTTCAGTCAATTCGCTGGCAGTCAAGTAAGATCTGCTAAGTCGGTGTTCAGACTATGCAACAGTTTTTGCCTTTAAAAATCAACACCCTTCTGAACTGTCCGAAAAGCTACTGAACAGTACTAAATGGACTGCATGAGTACTAAATTTACCGCAGTGAATAAGTATGAAAATTGACTGAAAGACTACATATGCCTGAAATATTTATTGTTCAGACTTTTCAGATACTGTTAAGATCAAAATGACCGTTTCCGACTAAAACTTATTTACTAGTAGCATTGGCTCACCGGTATGTAAATACATTTCCTACAATTTTTTTTCTGATCAGCGAGAACAACCTGGAATATAAAAAAAGTGAATATTTCATTATCTGCGTAATGTTGCATAATGTTCGTTCCAATTCGACAAATGCTGATTATGCTCGTACATCAACAGTAGCATAAATTGTTTACTTAAAAAGGAAACTGTCTGAACCATCATAGGAAATATGAATATGTGAATAGACTGATGACAAAAAAATCATGAGACATATCCTGCAGACTTTTTGTATTCTAAATTTCTGAAACTGATGTGCACTGAATGACCTTCGGATATGTGCAAACAAGGCTATTACTAATTGTAAATAAACAGGTAAATGAATATAGTATGTTGTTCGTGTTTGTCGTACTTCCAAATTAACACCTTTCCTACGCATTTGTTGCCTATCATTAAGATCTACTTCAAAGGGTCTTCTTCCCTGTAATAAAAAAAAAACAAATAAAGAACAATTGAAACTCTTTTTAAATAGAATTAATAAAATATAAATAATCCATTCATTATCATTCCAGTGCATGAATATCACAAAGAAAAATAGAAATATTGGCATGTTTTATTTGTACAGACATAAGTACTAGTAACTTTAGACCGGTAGAGCTCTCAATTTATGTAACACTATTCATCCTCAGGTACCAAAAGAACAGAATGTGATTGCTTTTATATAAAATTCTAATAAAAATGGAAATATATTGGCACATAATGTTACAATGCCGACAACACATTTGCAATCTTAAGTTTCTATTTCTTCCCTTTAATGTCTGACAATCCATCTTGAGGTCAGGTTTAAAAAAATCATAAATCTGAAAAAAGCTGTCGTGTCATTTATCTATAGATTTGTCGTAAATTTGCAGCTGGACATTTTTATAGTGCTAGTCATGTGATATGATAAGTCAGTGTATTCAGGATACCATGACAAACTGCGTTAATGGGTGATTTCTAGCACAGGTTTACTTCTACGACAGATGAAGAATTACAACATATGGAAAAGTTTAACCGACCAATCAACCGGATTCAATTATTTTCATGTGTTTCTGACCAAACAAATAGGCACTACTAATGAATACTGTAACCTTATTATTTCTTTTGTCAAGACTTGATCCATGCTTAATCAAAATTTCAGATGCAGGTATATATCCTACGGAAAATGCTATATGAAGCGCTGTTTCGCCCTAAAAAATAAAATACCAAACACAATTCCTAAACGATTAAAATCATTGTTGAAAATTTGCCGAAGCTTTAAAATTTTGAGGTAGAAAAGATACGAACCTCTTTAATTTCAATAACAAAGGTTTCTGTTTTCATTTTTTCTGTTTCTGATAAAATGCTTACTCTATGTGTAAACTTTTGCAATTTTTTAGAATAAGATAGACAACACATGGTAAAATTGTCCTTACTTTAAAGAACAAGTAAATATGCCGCTCGGCACATTTAATTTCATATAAGCATTTATTGTCCTTTTAATATTTGAATATAATTTCAAATTGCATGCAGAAAGGTATTTACAGATTTATTTTAATCAGCTGTGAAAGCTTCAGTTATTGAGATTGATATTGCTAAAGATGTAGGAAAAATGAATTTCTTAAATGTCCCCCACCCCCTCTTTATATCTATGTAATTACACTATTGCATTCGGATAAACAAATGACGTTTGGCAAATATCACATGCATGCATTGAATTTCATTTTCTTGATTAATATACATAATTAATGAATAATCATAATCAAAACGAAATAACACTTGGTTCTACATTACAATTCATTAGTAATGCCATTACTATAAGTATGAATTTGTAAGCATAATTCTGAAAAAAACGAGAACAGCCAATAGTCACTTTTGCTTGAGATATTTGCAACATACAATATAACTCAATACCAACATGTTATACAGCGCTTGATTACAAAGGACATTGCACATTAGTCGTTTTTTTAAGAAATCGAATAGTTATTCCTATAATAAACCATTGCGCTTTGATGAAAATCCATCGATTAAAAATAAAGTAAAAAAAGGTTTTACACAACGCTTAAACTTATGTGATTGGAACAGTCTTTATATAATACATTATAATAAAAGTATTACATAAAATGTCCGCAAATTTATAAAATTAAAATTACTTCTGTATCAACCAAGTTCACGTCTGCATTTCTTTTTATAAGTAATTGCATAACATCAGTGCGGTTCAATAATGCTGCCAAATGAAGTGGACTCCAATTCTAAAAAAAAAAACAACCTTGAAACACACATTTATATTCCTCCTATCATCTTCTTTGTAGCAAATTATAAAAGAATTAATCAATTCCATTGCCTATTCATATATTTGTTTGTTTAGGAAAGTTAAAACTTTATAACAAAAGATTGTTTTCACTTTAAATTAAATGAAGTACGGTTTGATTGATTGAACATGTTGCATTTTAGATTCTAAGCGTCAGGGGACAAATATTTTATCATATTCCAGACCATAAATGGCTTAAAGCAGATGCTCAAACGAGAAGTTAGAATATCAAAAACGACATTTGTAAGATCAACGTATCATCACAAGGTATTCCAAACGAATTTTAATACATCTGTTCATTCACTGAAGCATTAATTATTATCATGTTGCACACCTTTAGTAAGACACGAAAATTTCAAACGACTAAGTTAAACAATACAAAATGCTAAAAGTCGAAATCTATTAATCTTTGTTTGAATTGACTGATATATTACTCCACATGATTAATAAGTCTAAGAGTTGACCTCAATATTTTTTTCGGCATTGTCTGAAATGTTCTTGAAAGAGTCTAAATTATACTCGACATCATTTTAGATTGTCTTTAAATATTCTAGTTATGTAACAGTCTCGACAGTCTCATCTGTGTCTGAGTTTGTTTCGGCACATTCTTCGACAGTCTGAACTGTGGCTGAGTTTGTTTCGAAACATTCTCCACAGTTTAGAGTGTGTCGGAGTTTGTTTCGACACAACATCGATAGTGTAAAGAGTGTCTGGGTACGTAATGACACTTTCTCGAGTCCAAAGAATTTCTGAGTTTGCCTTGCCACATTTGTTTTGTGACAAAATGGTCAAGGATTCTAACACCAATGTTTCAGGAAAATTTTATATATATGTATATGTATATTATAATATAGAAATACTGTTATCAGCTTTAAATCATACTGCTTTTAAAAAACCAAGCATTAGAGATAACTGTGCAAGCGATATGATATGAACATTTCTGTTTTTTTTTCAATCAATACAACAACCATATAGATAAATATTATCTTAAACAAAAGATATTTGATGAATTGTCCAAACATACTATGTGTGTTATTAAGTCCTCGTGAAGTCTAAAGTTTTTTAATTTTTACATTGTAAATACTAGTAAGATTGATACAAAAAAATGTGAAATGTGTTTTGCGATGTCACATTGTCCACTGATATACTACATGATCCATCTATTTCTCTAGAAAACAAACAACCTTTCACCATATAAATATTTCCGACTTGCACATATCAGACATAAATCAAAGTATCAAAATTTATATAGGTAAGACATTCAAAACGTTTTGACTTGCAGTCGTTTTGTCTTATTGGCATTATCAGCAGATTAATAGAATAACTTATTGAAGAATTCAAATAGAGAAAAATATTCAACGAGTGACCGAACAACACATTAGTTTACGAATGCGCGTAGCGCATGATTTAATTATCAGTAT